CGTCTGGTGCAGCGAGAAGAAATTCAAAGTATTGTTGGAGGAAAGCTTCAGAAACCTGCCTGCAAGGAATGGGTTTTCAGAAATGTCCAGGCTTTGCAGTCTTGGCAATTGGAAAATGTTATGCGGAAAACTTGCACTCAAGCTACTATTTGCTAGACTGAGAGAAACCAAATGAGAGGAATTAGCAAATAACTTGGGCGGTAGAGAATGAAGATTATTGTTATCAAGGTTCAAGTGGGATAGGAAACGAAGCTCTGAGAAGGAGGAACAAACAGGACCTGATAAGTCACAGTTTCGACAAGCTTAAGATGCGGAGGTTAGGAAGTGAACGAGACAGGGCTTTACACCAACTAATGCCCTGTTCAGAGATGTCAGCATCATCAAGATAGACTTCCAAAAGAGAACTTAATTTTTGGAAAAATGTTCCAAAGTTTGGTCTTTTGAGCTCAAGTGGATGATACGAATCAGTACAATAATCACGTTGACCAGAGAAGCATGAATGTGAAAGGTTGAGATGGGTCAAATATGCTAGCCTGTCAAAATCATGTGGGATGGGCATCATTTCAAAGTTATTGCCAGCAAGCTTAAGGGGCTGTAAATGACGCAGACGAAAGATGGAGTTGAAAGGACCTGAAAGCCCGCTGTAGCTGAAGTCAAGCTTGACCACATGACCAACAGCATCGCACTTGACACCCGCCGAAGAACAACAATCTGTTTTCAGATGCCAAGATCCGATTTTGGAGTTAAAAGGCAGAATTCGATTGGTTAACAAAATCCCGGCGAAGCTGCACCAAGGCTGAACTTTGGTCATCCAGGTATTGGTTTTTAACAGAGAAAATAGTGTTAAAGAAGAAGAGACAAGAGACAAGGGCCAGTAAGAGAAAGGAAATTTGGAATGAAAGCCACAGATTACCAAGATTTCTCATCGCTACTCTGAGCAAAGAAAAGCAAAGATAGAATATTGTTAGATCACTAGGTTAATGCTGGATATATATATATATATATATATATAGAAAAGCTGCTGTGGAAATGAAACAAGCCACAATTCAAACTTCATTTTACGTAAGTGACAACTATTCTTGTGATGGTTGTTTTCAAGGACTTAACCACGGCTCATTCCTACTTAAAGCAAAAGTTAAAGGAGGTGCTAATTCCTGTTTGGGCAGCAAAATGCAAAATGTTTTCCCACTAAATCAACTGGGGTAGGGTACTGAGACGTTGACAAGACAAAGGGGGAACGGTGATTGGCGTGTTGGTAAGACTCGAGTTGTAGGCCATCTTTCTCTTTGGCCCACTAAATAAGGAAACGTCTATGTTTGCCACTAACTGGCGAGATAAGGGAAACATGTATCGCACGTTGCCAACCTTTTTCTTCAAAATTATAGACTAATTTTGTTAAGAAATTCGCCGTAAACATCATATTAATTTTTTTGTTTTATACTCTAAAATATCACTTTATTAATTTTATACTAAATATTAGTGTTCACATGAACCTGCATGTGTTCAATTACTAGTAGATCATATTTCATCTCTTTTACACAGGTTTTAATCTTAACCTAATTTCTTCTCGTATGTCAATTTTCAAGGTATTTTTATTGTATCATTTAAACATCAAAATTTGGTAGGATGCCCTTAATGTTTTATATTTGAATATATTTTATCGAGTGTAAACATGTATCCTCGCTCCTATACATATATATATATATATATATATGATAGAATTGAACTTTAAATTTCAATTCTCTTGAAGAGGGGTAACAGCTATTAGGTTAAGTATTGATATAAATGTGTTACTTCTTGATTTGTTTCATGAACCTAGTTGTTGTATATGAACACATTTTATCAATGCGGTTTAAAAGAAATAATTTGATTTTTGTACCTTTTCCTTACGGAAAGTAAAATTGTGCTTTCAGAAAACGGGATTATTAAAGTTTTTATTGTTCGTGAAAGAGAATTCAAATCTTGTTTTCTATCATACATCATAAATTGTTTTACTTTAAAACAAAAAATAACATTATATTAAATTTGAACAAAAGTTCTTTGTGAAAAGAAGAAAAATTGTAAATAAGTAAAAGAGATGTAATATAGAGGAAAGTTGAAACAGCACCTATAATAAGTAACATTTATTGAGAAGAGTTTTAATGCACATAATAGATAATAATTTTTTAAACTCATTATGTAGATATTACAATAGTAATTTTATTGTATATATTGAGTAACGTTGAAAACTCATAGTATGTTCGTTGAAATAATGAGTGTTTTATAACTACTAATCAAAAGTAAGAACTTATTCAAAGGTAAGAGAGAAGAAATATATATATGAAAAAGCACACGAGAAAAAGATAAAAAAGAAAAAGTACATGTGGACAAGTGTACGAGAACATCCTAAGAGAAAAAAGATATATATGAAAATGTATAAGAAAACAAGACAAGATAAAAAGATGTACATAAACAAGTACAAGAAAATTAACAAGGTAAAAGGTGAGATGAAAAAACATTAATACTTTAGGAGAAGGTTAAGAGGAAGACTTTTTAATTACCTCTATATCTGAGCCAACAAATTAAACTCTCCAGGACATCCTAAGATGAAAATAACCTATGAATCTTACCACTTATTCCGAGTTACTTTCACTATTATTTATGTGAAGTAGTTGTTCCACTAGTATTAATTGTTTTGTTTGAAGTAGTACTTAACTTGTTCTAGCTGTTCTGTATAAAGCAAAGTTTCACTTATCCTAGTTGTTCTCATTATTCTCTATATAGCATTATATAATAAAACAATCCTTAAAAGAGAATAGTTAGTTAGTAACCAAAATCAACTATCAACAACTTCTATGAAATATCATATTAACATGCTATTAAATATTTATTTTTTGGATTATTATATATCTCATAAAGCTACGAAAATTATCCAAGAAATAACAAAAATATAATTTAGAGAAATCAAACAAATTGGAAAAACATTAAAATTTACATGGTTTGATAAAGTGAAATGGTTAACCTATTATTAAAAAATTGAAAGCATGATGTTTGAAAACGTTCTTGAACTAGTTAAGAAAATTTAAATAAATCATTATTTTTTTATTATGATCAATATTAGATGCTCAACTTTGATTAACTATTATTTCTTCAAATATTGTGCCACAAAATAAGAACAAGCGTGGAATTTTTATTTCACATGGAAATATGAAAATAACTCAAAACAAGTGGTAGGATTCATAAGTTATCTTCACATTTAGGATTTTCTAAAAAGCTTGATTTGGTAGTATAATTAAAAAGACTTCTTCTTAATATTTTTTTAAAGTACATGTGCTTTATCTCTTTTTTTCTTTCTTTCAATAGAGTGTACGTGTTGCACTATCAAGTGTCATCACTAGTCCATAAAAAATTTACACCCATTACCCAACTATATGGTCATTCTCTTAATATCTCATAAACCATTCTTTAATGTACTCTTCCATGAAAAGCACGTTATTTTATAATTGAACTTCTTCCAATTGTTCTTAAGAAAACATTCTATTCCATATAAATATGAGAACCTTGGAGATTGAGGGCAATAAGAAAAAATCATAACTCAGCTGAGACTATCTTCAAAACTCTCTCAATACTCTTCCAAACATTCTTTTTACTTAACCCTTCCCATCTGTCATAATTTATTGCTTTCTCTCTCTTTTCTTATTCCTTATCATTTGTCACCAAAGCACTTGCACTTCAAGGATTGCTCCTATCTTTCTTTTCTATCATCTCTAATGCATTCCGTTTCACTGATTATAATACGTCTTCACTCTTTACCTAAAGAATTCTCTGCACATTCATCAAACCCTTACTATAGGTAGAAATAACACTTCCTTCCTTGGTTTTGATAATGTATAAAACTTATTGGTTGAGATACCCAACCTATAAACGTTCTTAATCGATAAACACAATCCATATAACCTCCTTACTCTTTAACCAATAACAAATATTAATAACTACTTTGATAAAGATACACTCTCACTTTATTAGTGAAAATTTTAAATGCTAGAAAAAGTCTCTAAATTATTAAAAAAATTTAAATAAACTTTATTCTTTTATTACGTTTAATCATGTCTCTTTATTTTTATTTTTAAATTAAATAAATTTTTATAATTAATGATTAATTAATTATCATTTTATATCCATGTGACATTGATGTGGTGTTAATATGGAAGGTGAAAAATGCCATATGACTATTTTATCATTCTACATCATAATCTACTATGATATGTTATTATGTCACATTAATATCATGTGACAAATAATGCAAGTGACTTTATGACTAAGTCAATTATTAGTTATAAGAGTTTATTTAACTTAAAATAAAAATATAAGAGTTTATTTAACTCAGAATAGAAGTATAATGATTCGATTGAATGCAATAAAAGAATAAAAACATATTTAAATTTTTTGAATAATTTAAGGTTTTTAATTATTTTTTGAATTTTTTTTTTGAGAAACAAGAATTTCATTTCATAATAAAAAATCATAGTAGTTACAATATGAGGCATATAAAATAAATACAACCATAGCTCATAACATTGTAACATTCCTATGACACGAAGATGAGTCTCGTTAAAAACCTTTCCATGGAAAAATTCAGTGAGACAAAACCCATGAGAAAGAAAAAAAAAAAAAGTACCCATCAATCATATCGAACTAACATTTAAACTTCTGCTTTATAATGGTTAATTCCTTCATATCTTGCTCATACTGATAAATGTAATTTATTTATTTAGTTTTGTTGAAAATATGGGCCGACAACTTGTCTATTGCCTAAGGAATATGTTCTGCCATAACACGCAGTCAAGCCATAAAAGGATAAAGGGTGAAGAACAAATAAAGCTAACTGGAAAACATCGATAAAAAGAAAAAAAAAAGTGAGGGACAAGCAAAACAAAGAAAGTTACTAAAAGAAGAAAAAAGAGAGCAAAATGATAAAAGTGGCTTCAATCTTTTGAATATCACTTGATTGTGTCTTTTTGTTTGTAATATGAAATTTCTGTCCTTTTGTTCAAAGAAAAAAGGCTGAAGTTTGCCTTATATTGTGTCAATCAGTCCCAGAAGACAAATCTACTCATTGATAATAGTTACGCGTACATGATTTGTCTGCAGATGTAGAAACACTTCGACACTCAACTTTCTGAATGCATTCTAATTAAACCGAACTTTCACAAATCAGTAAAACGAACAGAAAAATACATCATGAACTGAAAAGAAACAACTGCCCTGCTATGGCTTATGAGTAAACAAAATTTGTCAAAATTTTTGTTTACTCATTCTTGCGAGTCTTCACCACTGAGATCACCCCATCGAACATTGTACTTAGCAGCAAGATAATGTGCTCCAACTGGTCCTCTGCTCCCATAAGGGTAGAGCTCTGGAAAAATCTTGTTTTCTTCAAGTTCCCTCAACAATGGTGTAAACAGTGACCAAGCAGCATCCAGCTCATCACTTCTAATGAACAACCTTCGCTCCCCAGCTATAGCATCTAAGAGCAATCTCTCATATGCATCTGGGATTTCTTTTGGATACCTTAATATCATAACCAAAGTTAATTCAGTGCCATCAAAGAAGCCTTAAAGCAAACAAGGTATCGTATACTTGCATGAGTTTTCAGACCTTGCTATCCAAAAAAATGATGTATACTTTTTTTTTCAAGTTGAAGCCTGTTAGATATCAGGTGTAATGCATTTACTGGCAAGAAATCTTTTGTTTTGTCAATCGGTAGTAGTAAAATCTCTGTGATTTTTAGGAAAAGCTTGATGATTTTTACTAATGAGTCTGGTCTAAGATGCTAATAAAGGTACACAAATGGCAGGAAGGATTATTTTAATAGACAGAACATATTAGTTTCAACATCAATCTCAGCGAAGACACACTCCACATGTCTGCTATCTGCAGGTCATTGAATTGAAGCAGCATATTAAAGTTAATAAAATGGTTGATTATCCCTGTACCTTGCTCGATAGAGCAAATTAAGGTCACTGCGATCTAATCTCATTCCAAGACCAGGAACTTTATTATTGACCTTCAGGTAAATGGCTTCATCAGGTTGCACACGTAGCACAAGCTCATTTGTTGCCTTGTCTAAATCAGTTCCAAAATTCTGCTTGTACAAATTACCTGGAACATGTCTGAACTGAACTCTGATCTCTGCCCTGGGTTTTCATGTCCACAACATTTCAGTCCATTCAATGATAGGCATGATTACAAGGCATAGGCCCTCAAGATTCAATCAATAAAAAACAAAATGCACCTACCGCCTTGTATGGAGAGCTTTTCCGGCCTTCATGAGAAAAGGGACACCATCCCATCTAGCATTATTTATAAACAGAGCTGCTGCCGCAAATGTAGGTGTAAGACTGTTATTCGGTACAGTTGAGTCATCAGTGTAACCTGGATATATTTTACCACCCTTGTTGTGGCCCTTATACTGACCAACAATGACATCCTCAAGCTGCAGTGGTCTCATTGATCTCAGAACCTTTACCTGAAAATAGGCCATGCCCACCATATTATACCAGATTTTAAAAATAGATTTTAGGACAGTTCAAAACAATATAAAATCAATCAAACAACAAGTCAAAGCACGTTCTCAATGATATAAATCATATGAAAGGAGACCAATACCTTTTCATTCCTGATGTCCTCAGCTTCTAAGCTGACAGGAGTCTCCATTGCAAACAGTGCCAGTATTTGCAGGAGATGATTTTGCATTATATCTCGTATGATTCCATAATTATCAAAATAACTGGAATTAACAAGAAATACTTAAGTGATCTTGGTCTTTGAAAAGAATAATGTATTTATATACAAAACATCACCAAAACTACGCAACTCACCCCCCTCGTCCTTCAGTACCAAAATCTTCAGAAAATATCAATTGCACATTCCGGATATAATTCCTTGACCATAGGGGTTCAAAAACAAGATTTGAGAAGCGAAGCACTGAGAGATTCTCAACAAGTTCCTTGCCCAAGTAATGGTCAATCCTACAAAAGCATAATCAAAATTGAGCTTTTCTTTTAGTGTTTTTGATTTGTACTGATTTCCTATTCAAAATTATAAAGCAAAATGTACCTGAATATCTGATCCTCAGTTAGATACTGCTTAAGACATCTTGTTAGCTCAGCAGAGGACTCTGAATCACGACCAAATGGCTTTTCAACGATGACCCTTGTCCAACCATTTGCTGCAGAAGCTTTGAGGCTGGCACATCTCACCACATCCACGAATATGTTTGGAGGTATTGACAAGTAAAATAACCTATTTGACAGTTTTCCAGCCTGTAAAGAAACATTTTCCAACGTTAAGACAGAGAAGTCAAAGATAGAATAATTAACTAGCCATTTCTTATGATACTGGTTCAAGGATTATGTCAGTTTGCATCCATTGCATATTTAGTAGGCAAACAAGGAAATCCATCATTTGGTTCAGGAAGACCTCCCCAATGGGTGATAGCCCATGATAATGTTTTGCTTTATTTCAATAAGGTTTTCTCTACCACTCAAAAGTTCAAAGAACAGTTTAACCTTCTGCGTTATACTTTATTAAGTATCAGATCTTAATCAATCTTTTCCAAGACCGATTCTTCTTGTAAATCCTAGATGAATGAACAAGAAAAACCTTTCTAGAAAGTTAGAAAACCATGGGCCACAAAATTTGGATGTGAATTGTAAAAGATTAGAAAATGCAATATGTTTTTGTTGCGATAAAATGTTTTTACTCTCAAATTTAATACTTCCTTTCAAACATAAAAGGTTTAAGAGACCATTATAAGATAAATACATCAAAATTAGAATGCTCAAAATAAATAAACTTTTCTAAAAGAAATTTCCAGAAATCTGAAGGATATTTCTCAAATTCTTGAGTCTGTTTCATCCCATTCCAAAAGCAATAGCAAACTTAGTGCCATGAGGTATGCACTGTAAAAACCTATCCAACTCTTGTAACTACCATTACCATTCTTAAATTAGTTGCAAGATTTAACAAAAACAATAGAATAAGATCTAATGGCGGTCAAGAAAACTGAGGAAAAACACAAATAAACATGTTACCTCTTTCTCTTTCAGCTTGCTGTCTAGTTCTGCAAAATGCTCCTCAGAATTATACTGACCTGAATGGTAAAAGCATCTCTTCAAGAACTGCTCCATTTTATCTTCACAATTTGCCCTATAAGTCATCCCACATAATAAATATACAAATCGGCAAACAGTTTCAATTATGACACGATAGAAATTACTTTAGCATGATATCAACTGTACCTCTTATCAATTCTACAAGTTAATGTTCCACTAATCATGTTCCTGAGCTCTTCATTTGTCAGTTTAGTACGAGCATAACCGAAAACCATAAAGTTCTGCATACCAAGGGAATACATGAGAAAAGATACAAACTAACTAGACATATATTCATTATCTTGACTCTGGTTAAAGAAAACTATACCATCTTCAGAAAGTGAAACTCTGAAGCAAAGAAAGAGCATTACCTCAGGTAGACAATCTTCATAGTAAAGAGCAAAAAGGGCAGGAAAAATTTTCTTCTTAGCAAGGTCCCCCGAAGCTCCAACAACAGTTATGCTAAGAGTAGACTGTACTTTCTCTGAGTCTGAAAAGTCAAGGAAAATTTCTTGCTCTTCAGGTTTGATTCCCTCGGCCAAAGGGGTTCCATCCATACCTAATCCAAAGAGCCCTTGAGGGTTCCAAAAATGAGAAACTAAACAAGAAAAAGCTGATGAACAAAAGATGGCAGAACTAAAAGGAGTTCCTAGATGAGGAAAAAGGCAGGTTGGAAGGCCAAAGCACATGATTTGCAGAATCTGTATCGTGCTTTGAAATGGCAATTTTACTTACATGTCCAAATATTCGTAACTGCATCTCATTAGTATCAGACATTGTAAAAGAAACTAGTAATCCATTTGAAACAATCCAAATTTTTGGACAAATGCTAGAATTCCTTTTATGTGACAAATTAATAATTATTCACCAAACACATGTTAGCACACAGTGTTAAGATTTTCAAGAAGTCATACATTAACATTTTAAAAAGATGAAGTCAAGTATATCTATATATCCAATCTTGAGAGTCAAAGCAGCGTATTTCATTCCACAAAATACCCTATTCCAAAAGAATGCTGGCAATGAACAGATCACATTACTAACAGAAAATCAATTAACTAGAGTAAAAGCTAGTTTAATTCACAAAGACAACAATAATCAAACAGAATAAGAAAGAAAAGTAATGAAATAAAGAGGCTGACCTTCCTGCATAGAAACTGCATTTAGTGGATGCCCATTTGAGGATTTGATCCGGAAATGGTTTCTCGCATGGATCCTTGGACGAACTTGGGAAACCCATTTGGAGAAACAATATCTTCTCGGCTTACAAACAGTGAATTCAGAAGAGAAGGTAAGTGAAGAAGAGGAAGATGAAGAACAAGGACTAAAGTGTGTAGCCATGCAATATTAGAATGATGATCAAGCGAAAGCTAAAGAAATGTCGACTAACCTTGGATCGTACAAGGTTTATACTGGATTTACTTATATGCAGATATGTGGATTAGAAATATATGTGCAGGGTGCCCCTTTGAGTTGTTGAAAAGTTGAGCAAAATTGAGAGTTTTGCAAATGCAAAACAAATCTGCTACGTGAGGTCAGGGTTTTTTTAAAATTTTCTTTATAAACTTATCAGGTTTTATTATATATTTGTTTTGCATATGTAAATGGCGGTAAAAGCGCCGATTTCATCGTCATGGCCGTTAAACATCTTGTTGATTTATTCCTTCCTTGGGTTGGGTTAAGAGTATAAAGTACAAGTCCTACAACTTAGAAACCTATCCTTCGTTTTTATAGGACTCATAAATTTAACTAAAACAGTGAAAGAATAAAGTGGAAAAATATATACCATGACCAAGTATCAAGTTATAATTTCTTCCTCAACATTGTAGCAAGATAAATAAATGACTAAATAAAAGAATTCCTTCCTCATCACTCAACAGAGTTAGATATCCTATATTCAACTTCAATTTTTCACTTTTCAATTTATTGATTGGGTTTTTTATATATAAGAAGAAAATTCAAACGTTAAAATTAAATTTTGAGTTGTTTTTTGATACATGAATACGTTATTATGTTACTTACATATTAAGTTAAATTAAGTTATCTTTTACTTTATTTGTATTCCAAGTAAGTTTAAGTTAAGTTATTTTTTTATTTTTTTTTATTTAGGAATTGTAATAATCTTATATAGGAAAAGTAAGAAGACTTTCTTCCTTAGAAATTGTTATATAAAATGCTCTTGGGTTAATTGTTAAATACATTTAAGTTGAGAATTAATAAAAAATATTTTTTTAATAAGCAAGAGTGTTTATTTTCTCTAAGCTCTTTTTAAAATTGTAAGAGGTTTTAGTATAACCAATGTGAGATTGTGGTCATTGTTCACCTTAACGAGATTTTCTAATCTCGTCAAAATTACTGTTCACCTTAGTGAGGTTTCTAAACTTGCCAAAATTTGTGTCTTCACAAACCCCAAGCTTTAGTTTGGTATTAAAACAAGAAGATCATTGTTCACTATCAGGTTTCGACTCTCCTTATTCAAATAATTCTATTTCTTTTGTTGTTTTATAATTATATCATCATCTTTTTTCTATATCACCACATCGCCATCACCATAATGCCACCTAGACGCCAAAATCATCAAAGAATTATTGACGAGATATAGATTAAGGAATTACACCATTAAGTTCAAGAATTACAAGAGCAACTCACAAGACATGATGCTGCTCAAATCAACAATAGTTGTTTTAGTGATGAAGAGGATGATACCAATCTTTTCTATCAAGAATCATTTTTTGATGAAAAAGTACCTATATGTCGTCTAAGAACTGTTGTTAATAAAGATTTGAGAATCAAGGTAGACATTCCTAAATTTAAAAGAAGGCTTCACCCTAATAATTTTTTTTACTGGCTCTACATAATAGAAAGAGTTTTCGAGCTCAAAGATGTTCATGATGAAAAATATGTGAAGCTTGTTGTAATAAATTAAAAAAGCACTCCTCTACTTGGTGGGAAAATCTCAAATGGTAACGAGAAAGAGAAGGCCGTAATAAGATTAAAACATGAGATAAGATGTGTTAAGAACTCAAACGTAAGTTCCTTCCTGAGCACTATCGACAAGAAATTTGTATTAAATTTCATAACTTGAAGCAAAAAATAACATCGGTGGAGCAATATACATTGAAGTTTGAACAACTTCACATGAAGTGCGATGCCATGAACTTGAAGAGCAAACTATAGCTTATTATCTTGGAAGCCTCAATGTTGAAATTAAAGATGTTGTTCAACTACAACCATATTGAAACTTAAATAATGTTATCAGAATAGCGTTAAGGTTGAGAAACAATGATCGTGGAAAAGCTCAATGAGTTCATTTAGACAAAAAGATTCTACTTTAAACTGTTGGAGACAAAGTTCAGTAACCATTTCACCTTCAAAAGAAAACTCTTTTCAAAACTACAAATAATAATGATAAAGAACCTACTTCTACTTGTACTTCTAATGTCAACAAAAACTGCTTCAAATGCTAAGGATTTGGACATATTGCTTCTAATTGTCCAAATAAAAAAATTATCTCCTTAGTAGAAGAAATAGTTATGGCAAAACCTATCATAGAAGAAGTAGAATTTGAGCTAAAAATATTCGATGAATATGAGATAGAACAAGTTTTTGCCAACCATGGAGATGCTCTTACTATTTGTAGTAACCTCAACACAACTATGATGATTGAAGATGAAAGTTGGCTTCGCCACAACATTTTTTATGCAAGGTGCACATCCCAAGGGAAAGTTTGCAATATCATTATTGATAGTGGAAGTCGTAAGAACGTTATTGCCAACTACATGGTGAAAAAGTTGAAACTTCCAACTAAAGCACATCTTTATCCTTATAAGCTACAATGGCTGAGAAAAAGAAATGAAATTAAGGTAACAAAACATTGCTATGTTCAATTCTCTAGTAGAAATAAGTATCAAAATGAAGTCTGGTGTGATGTTATCCCAATGGACACAAGCCATCTATTGTTGGGATGCTCATGGCAATATGATCATTGAGCTCACCATGATGAACACAAAAACACTTGTTCCTTCATCAAGGATGGAGTGAAAATTATGTTAACTCCATTAAAGCCATAAGAAACAAGAGAAAGATAAAGCACTCATCATTATGTTGGGCCTAAACAAAGCTTATAGTGAGTCAAGCTTCTTATACCTCTTATTAGTTTGTGAGGAAAACGAAGTATATTCATCCTTACCTAAGGATGTCAAGCCCACAATTAAAGAGTTATGTGATGTTGTACCTAATGAGATACCCCCCGAACTACCCTCAATGCGAGATATTCGACATGCCATCAATTTCATCCTTGGTTTTATGATTTCAAACAAGCTTGCTCATCGCATGAGTCCATAAGAGCATAAGGAGTTACAACATCAAGTCAAATAACTTTTGGAGAATGGCTTATTAAAAAAAGTGTTAACCCCCATGTTATTCCTGCTTTATTAGATCTAAAAAAAATGGAACATGGCATATGTGCATTGATAATCATGTCATGAACAAAATCACAATCATATATTATTTTCCCATTCCTAGACTTGATGATTTGTTAAATCAATTGCATGGTTTTATTATTTTCTCCAAGATCGATCTACGTGGTGGTTATCACTAAATTCGAACACGACATGGAGATGAATGGAAAACTGCGTTTAAAACATTTGATAGGTTATATGAATGGACAATTATGCCATTTGGCCTCTTTAATGCACCCATAATGTTTATGCACTTAATAAACCAAGTATTCTTTCTTTGCATTGGGAAGTTTGTTTTGGTTTATTTTGATGATATTTTGGTGTATAGTAAAAGTCAGAATGAGCATTTGGAACATTCATGGTAGATCTTTGAAATACTTTGAGGGCTAAAGCTTTTTTCTAACTTAAAGAAGTGCGAATTTATGACAATGAAAGTTATCTTCTTAAGATATGTTGTGTCAGGCTAAGGAATTGAAATGAACCAAAACAAAGTTGATGCTATTATCAATTGACTAGTTACGAAGTCACTTTATGGCATTCAAAGCTTTCATAGATTGACCTCTTTTACTAGCATTTCATCAAAATTTTAGTTCTATTGCTACTACACTTATTGAATGCCTCAAGTGAGATAGTTGTACATGGAGTATCAAGGCATAACATAACTTTGAGGAATTAAAAGAGAGGATACTAAGGCTATTATGCTTGCACTTTTAAATTTTAATTTGGTTTTTGAAGTTGATAGTGATGCCTCCAGTGTAGGTATTGGTGCTGTTTTATCTCAAGAAAGACAATCAATTACCTTCTTTAGTGAGAAACTCAATAATGCAAAGTTGAAATACTTAACGCATGATAAAGTGCTTTATGCCATTATTCAAGCCTTGGACCATTGGAACCACTATTTGTTACCAAAAAAATTCGTCTTGTATTCTAACGATAAAGCCTTCAAACATCTCAACTCCCAACACAAGTTTAATTGCCTACATGCAACTTAGAGTGAGTTTCTTCAAGCCTTTCCAATTCTCTTTAAGCACAAGTTAGGTGTGCAAACAAGGTAACTGATGCTTTAAGTCATTGTCTTACTCTTCCCTCTTCCTTACAATTAAAGGTTATTAGTTTGAAGTTGCAAAAGAATTGTATGAGAAAGATTTTGAATTTGGTGATAGATGAAAGTCTAATTCTTAATATCCTTATCGACAATTTCACCAACAAGAACGGTATATTTTCAAAGGTAACTAACTGTGCAGCCATCAATGTTCTCTACATTAATCTATTATTTGGGAAACTCATAATGGAGGATTAGCTAGACATTTTGAGAAAGAAAAAATATTGGCTCTTGTGAAAGACAAATTTTATTGGCCCAAGCTAGAACGAGATGTCATTTGACATATTCAAAGGTGTCATACTTGCCACACTGCCAAGCTTGGAAATCAAAACACTAGTACGTATAAGCCATTACACATTCCTAATGCTCCTTGAGTAGATGTGAGTATGAATTTTGTTATGGGTTTGCCAATAACTTAAAGGCAAAAGGATTATGTAATAGTAGTCATTGACAAATTTTTCAAAAAGGCTCATTTTATGTCATGCCACAATACAAATGATGCTTTTCATGTAGCTAATTTGTATTTCAAAAAAATTGTACGTCCTCATAGAATTTCCAAAACCATCACTTCAAATCAATATGTGAAGTTCATGAGTCATTTCTGATGAACTCTATGGTGGAAAATGAGAACTCACTTGCAATTTAGTTCAACAAGTCACCCTTAAACGGATGGTTAAACAAAAACGGTCAACAAAAGTTTGAAAAACTTATTGTAAAGCTTTGTGGGTAAATACAATCGCCAATGAGATCTTGCGTTAGTACAAGCAAAATTATCTTATAATAATTTTGTGAGCCAAGCCACTAGAAGATGTCTATTCAAAGTAATGTATGAAAAATGCCTTCTTGGTCCTTTAGACTTTTCTGTTTTAGCAATTACTCATGAATTTAATGTCGATGTTGACAAGCGTGCTAAGCAAATCAAGAAGCT